CTAGCCGTCAGTAACACGCGTGCTGCAGAGAGGACGAACGTATGACGCACTTTTATACAGGTGAATTTGATCATCTGACGTACGGCATTCGTATTGTCAGTGTTAGTGTAACTTTTTCGAATTTCTTTTATTTTTTCGCTTGTAGATAAAATGAATCGTAAGCGATGTAATACTTCGCCCGGGCATTCCACATCGCGGAAAATACACCGAACGCGTATTGGTTACAATAAATCAGACGACATCATAGAATCATGGCTATGTGAAGAATCAGAGGAATCATCGGCAGGTGAAGAAGATTGCATACAATCAGATCGCGGAAATTCTTCATCAGAAGAAGATGAAGAAAATGAAGAGATTAGTTTACCAACACCAGCAGATTCTCATATCTCCGACTCCTCTGATGATGACATTCCATTGTCACGTTTAGTAAGTCGAGCTGACCCTCTAGAAAGAGAAACTATCAGCCAGGTAAGTGAACCTGAGACTTGTAATGACAAATCACGTCGCCAAAAATATTTCTATGGTAAAAGACGATGCATGAAGTGGTCCGCAGAAGGGCCATCAAGAAGCACTCGAACTCCTGCGCACAACATTGTAGTTCCATTGACCGCAACTTATATTCCACCTGACAGCTCTTCGTCTCAATTATTTGGATTGCTGATATCTAAGAGTATCAAAACTAAAGTTATAAACTTTACTAATCAAAGATTGGAAGTGACAAGAGAAAAATATAAACGCCAGAATAAACCTGAACTGAAAGACATTGATCCTTTGGAGTTTGATGCGTTCATTGGTCTGCTGATGTTTAGTGCAGTGTTCAAATCAAATGATGAAGACCTAAATGCATTGTTTGCGACGGACGGAACCGGGAGAGATATTTTTAGAGGAGTTATGTCTAAAGAGCGGTTTGCAATGATTCTCCTATGTCTGAGGTTTGATGATGCGTCTACTAGAGACCAAAGAAAACGGACTGACGTCGCTGCTGCTATTTCGGACATATTTCGCGAATTTATAGGAAATTGTCAAAAGTACTATAAAATTGGGGAAACTACAACAATTGACGAAATGCTAGTATCTTTTAGAGGAAGATGTAGATGGAAGAAATACATGCCTAACAAGCCGTGTAAGTATGGCTTGGAAATAAAATGTCTGACTGATGGTGCTACTAGCTATTTATACAATGCGTACCTATATACAGGAAAGAACAGTGACGGAAACGGGCTAACACATGAAGAAAGGAAGTTATTAGTGCCAACGCAGTGTGTCTTGCGTTTGGCAAAACCGATAATGACAACCAATCGAAATATCACTGCAGATAACTACTTTTCCTCAATTGAAGTCTGCATAGAACTGAGAAAAAGAGGCTTGACTTACGTTGGAACCCTAAAAAAAATAAAAGAGAAATACAACCCGAATTTCTTGATAAAAAACGACAAGTTCATTCAACTATGTATGGTTTTACAAAACAACTTACTCTGCTATCTTATGTTCCAAAGAAGAAGAAGACTGTCACAATGATCTCATCAATGCACCATGAAGAGAGCTTTGACTCTACTAAAGGGATCCCCGAAATAATTTCATTCTATAACGCAACAAAAGGGGGTGTGGATTCTCTAGACGAAAAGTGTGCAAAATACACTTGTAGTAGAAGGTCTAGCCGATGGCCACTAGTCATATTCTACAGGATTTTAGATATAGCTGCTGCCAATTCTTTTATAATATCTAATTATGACAAATCGAAACGTATGGAATTCATGAAAGACCTAGGCAGACGATTAGTAACTCCACACCTAGAGCGACGATATGAAATACCACAACTTTCTCACGAGCTCAAGAATCTCATAGGACGTATTTTGGGGAAAGATAAGCCTACTGAATCAAATCAACAAAGCACTGAAATCCTAAAGTTTGAGATTTTGAAGAATTGTTACATGTGTTTCAAGCAAAAACGACGTAGAACCCATTACGGGTGCACAATGTGCGGTCAGCCGATCTGCTTGCAGTGTTCAAAACCCACCTGTAACAACTGCCGTTAAAAAGTGCCTAAATAATTGATTAGTTGCTAACGTAATTTTGATTTCATAAAAACATTCTTAGTTAAGTACAAAAATGATGACAACAAGTTCCTATAGAGTAAGTTTTTTTTTGTTGATTTTTAAATATTTTTTTTATTTTTTGTATACCGCTAAGAATATTGGTTAATAAATATTTTTTCTATGAGTATTTTTATTGTTTTTTTTATCTTTACATCTTAGATATGAAATGTTCTATTACATAAAAATCAATAAAAACATTAATTACGATTGACCACGGCCTCACAGGCCTCGAAAGAAATAGACGAACCTCATTCGTACGTCAGTAGTAGTGTAACGAAATGACACGTCAGTGATTAAGGGTTAAGTATTATCAATTACGATCTCTTCGTCTAAAATATTTTTAGATTTCTTGCACTTCCGGTTATACCGGAAGTCGCCACCAACTTCATTTTTTTAAATGGAACACCCTGTATATTTTTACATATTTGGATTTGTCTGTTTTCAAGGTTTATAAATAACTTTTTGTAATTCGCGACGGTAATGAAAGCTATTACAGTACTCAAACGGGTGCTGTAATGACACTCTTTACAGCATCCGATGCTGTAATGGGATTTTAGTAACATTTTATGGAATCAGTTCAAGTTGGTGACATTGAGTCATTAATTTTTCTAGTTGTCAATGTGACAATGTTTGTCTATGGATGTTTAAACACGTTCTTAACTTCGAATACAAGGTCCACAATGATAAAGACATTGAACTCTGAGCAATTTCTCTTATTTTGGGAGGTGTACATGAAACATTTTTATCAGGTGAATACGTTTTGTGTTTTGACAGTTTCTATTTGTCATTCAAATTTCTATTTTCAAGTGTTACGGTGTTACCAACTGCTACATACCTATTTCCCTACATTGTCAAAATTTATTTTATTTTTGTTAAAAAAAAAGGATAAAAACTGAAAATAACATTCAATTTAAAT